TATGTGTTTTTTAAAAATTATCTTTATCAGATTTTTTAAATATTAAATTAATTAAAAATTAATTCTATAATTTTTTAAAAAAATATTATGAATTATTATAATGTTTTTTCATATGATCTTGTTTTGTTTTTCAAAATGGTCTCTGTTGATTTTATTTTTTCATGTTAAACTAGTTGAAAATTTTACTTTGTAGTTTTTTTTTAAAATACCGTGAATTGCTATAATATTTCCCCACATGGTTTTTTGTTTTGCTACAGTGTTTTCACATATTTTTTTAAAATTATTTTTGTTAATTGTTTTATATTAAGCGGGTTGAGAATTTAACATTAACTTTCCCACATGTTTTTTTTCTTTTCTTCTTGTTTTTGCTTTTTTTTTTTAAAAAAAATTACCTTCTTGTTTTGTCAATTTTAATTTTTTAACATTGAGTAGGTTTAAAATTTAGTTTTATAATTTTTCTTTAAAATAATTTTTTTTTTATATGTTTTTTAAAAATTATCTTTGTCAGATTTTTTAAATATTAAACTGATTAAGAATTAATTCTATAATTTTTTTAAAAAATATTATGGATTATTACATTGTTTTTTCATATGATCTTGTTTTATTTTTTAAAATGATCTTTGTCGATTTTATTTTTTCATGTTAAGCTGGTTGAAAAATTTACTTTGTAGTTTTTTCTTTAAAATACCATGAATTGCTATAATATTTCCCCACATGGTTTTTTGTTTTGCTATAGTGTTTTTATATAATTTTTTAAAATTATTTTTATTGATTTTTTTATATTGAGCGGGTTGAGAATTTAACATTAACTTTCCCACATGTTTTTTTTTATTTTCTTCTTGTTTTTGCTTTTTTTTTAAAAAAAAAATTACCTTCTTGTTTTTTGTTTTTTTTTCAGAATTGTTTTGTCAATTTTATTTTTTTAACATTGAGTAGGTTGAGAATTTAGTTTTATAATTTTTCTTTAAAATACTATGGATTGCTACAATATTTCTTCATATAATTTTTTATGATTTTTTTTCTAGAATTGTTTTGTCAATTTTTTTCTTCATATTGAGTTAATTGAAAATTTAGCTTCGTAGTTTTTTTTTAAAATGTTATGAATTGCTACAGTGTTATCTCATATGATTTTTTTAAAAAATTATCTTTATTAATTTTATTATTTTTAATATTGAATTGATTGAGAATTATAACTATAGATTTTCTTGTGAACATTATAAATTTTTACAGTATTTTTTTGCGTGATTATTTTATTTTTATTATGATTTTTTAAAATTATATTTGTTAATTTTATTTTTTAAATATTAAATTAATTAGAAATTTAATTTTATAATATTTTAAAAAACATTATAAATTATAATTTTTTTTCTCTATATTATTTATATTTTATTTTTTTCATAATGTTTTTTCACAAAACACGTTATAAATGGCTTCTAGTTATGAACTAAGGTAAGTGCTAATTTTAAAATATAAGAAGGAGAGTAGTAATAAGTGAAAAAACAAAAACACCTCCTAAACAAATTAGCTTTATCTACTTTTGTCATCGACAAAAAGTCTCTTCGTCCGAGGAAACAAACGTCCGTAACCCTAAAAGCAAACATAGACGAAACCAAAAACCCAACAACAACAACAACTCTAACAATCGCAAGAACAAAACTTTGTTACAAGAACCGATCGTTGGTACGAGAACGAAGAAACAACAAATACCAATTCGGAGAAAAAAGCTTATTTTTTCTTATGAAATCGCATCCACGGTTTGCCTGGTATGCACTGATTTGATTTAGTTTCAAAAATTACAGACTCACTTCAAATTTTGCAATATTAATTGTACTAAAGATACATACACATGTATATAGCTGATGGGTTTCTGTTATTTTATGATTTGTTTTATTTGATAGAGACATTTTTATTATGCAAATTCACAATTTTGCGGGATTTTTTTTCATTTGAGTTATGATAATAAGCTGATGGTTCTGTGTTATTCGATGATAAGAATCCTAATTTCTATGCTTTGTTGTGTCGAAAGAGAGATTTTAGAAGTGATATGCACAATTTTTTGAGGTTTTTTTTTTGATTCGGGTATAATTGAATCTTGGATGATATTTAGTTATGGGTTGGGTTTTGATTGTCAAGATCATTGCTTATATATTTTTTTAGATAATTCTGGACAAGTGATGGAATGGGTTTTGTTTGTCTCTTGATTTTCTGAAGCGGGTTTGGTTATATCTGAAGTTTTTTTTTTAAAAAAAAAATTTGCAGTGTAAATTGTAATTGAGAGTATATTGTGGCATTTTTAGCCGATCACTATCTGTTAATATGAAGAAGTTGTTCTGTTGATTTTGTTTCTATAACGCAATTCACAACTTGAGTTTTTTTTTTGGTCTGTATAACTTTATTTTGTGGATGCGGTGTTTGGTTTCTGCCAATCAAGATCATGGCTTTTATATTTGTTTCGTTGTTGTTGAGAGAATTTTGGAGGAATGGTCAAGTGGGTCTTGGTTAAATCTTGGTTTGTGGAGTGGATTTGATTTTATTTGAAGATTTACGAACGTCAAGGCTAATAAGAACTCGATACATGGGGGAATTATTGAGTAAAGGTTGATTCAAGGGCATGACTGTTGTGTGTCTGTTTCTTTTGTGCATATATTACAGGGAATAAAAGGAATTAGAACATTCGATCATCAAGAAAGAGCATTGCAGGGTGGTTTTGCTTGCAAGACATGGATCCTGGTCGCTATGGCCTTCAGCAAGGATGGGATAATAACAGCGTAATTGTGGTTTCCTCCTTAAAAATACTGATAAAAATGCAAGAAATTTTTTAGGATTGTCCATTAGTTTTTGGGCATCATCTATCTCATCCTTAAAAGAAAAATAAGAGAAAGCTGTTGGGGGCAGTGAGGATATGGAATGGATTTGCGTAACCTCCTCCTATCTTGATTGGTATTTGTTGCTGACATAAGCTTATTCTCTTGAATCCACAGGCTCTAGAGGGGTATGGTGCAGTCCATGAGCCTAACTACCGGTAAGTAAGGCCCGATGCTTGCTGTCAGGGCTTTCATGGTAAAATATTTTGTTTGAAAATTTGTGTACTGTTATTTTCCTTTTTGAGTTTTGTTGGTTAAGGTATTTATTTCATGCAAGATTTTCCAGAAGCCTCTTATGCTTGATAATTGCTAAATGTCTCCTTTGTTGTGGTCTGTAATCTTATTGTCATTATTTCTTTTTCAAGCTTTGGCTCATGATTTCTCATGTCTGGTCTTCCATTAAATTATTTTATTTTAGCAGGGGTGGTGGTTCATATGATGAGAGGAGGTTTATCAATGACCGGTATTCAAGGGATAATGGATACCCAAGACATGCCATCCCCCGGAACATTCTAGAGAGAGAGAACTATCCCCCACCTCCTGCTGTTGATGTTTGGCCTCAATCAAGAAGGAGAAGTTATGAAGAAGAATACCCACTTGATAGGGAGTCAAGGAGACATGAGAGACCATACTACGATGCTTACCATGATATAGATGTTGTTCATGGTCGGGATGGCAACCACAGCATTGACAACTACCGTGATCACGGACTTGATAGGGGTTCTAGGTTTGGGGAACGTGACCGTGATGATTATGCATATGATGATTATGACTATAAGTCACACACTTCTTATCAAAGTAGGGAGGCTAGCCATGAGAGGGATTATGAATATGGTAGGCATAGCTATGATTCTGATTATGAAAGGGGCAGCAGGAGAGATGGCAATTGGAGGAGGCGTGGATCCCATGATCGAGAACATGACAAGAGAGGTTTGAGTCAGGAAAAATCTCAGAGTCCACATAGACGGCATGAACGATCTCGGTCTCGTGGATATGATGATCGTCCTAGATCAAGGTCTCCTCGGAGTCGAAGTCATAGCCGAAGTCAAAGGGAGGACAGCTATGATGGTGGCAGGCATGAGAGGAGTGAAAGGAGGAGGGAGCGTGAACACAAGCGTCAGCGCGGCCATTATGACGTGGTATGTTACATACAGCCTTCTTTATTGTTATTTACTGCCTGGCTTGATCTGTGGTGAGTCACCGGGCTTTAACAAGAATTCTGTCTCTTGTAGGCCCCATCTGCAACCGTTGTTGTGAAGGGTCTCTCACAGAAGACAACCGAGGAAGATCTTTACCAGATACTTGTAATGTCTTAGTTTACATTCTTTATCCGGGCACTGTTGCTTTTCCTCATTAGAAGTTTTCATAACATTTATTTGCTTCTTGTGGCCATCAGGCTGAGTGGGGACCACTTCGCCATGTTCGTGTAATCAAAGAGAGGAATTCTGGCATCTCCCGTGGATTTGCCTTTATTGACTTTCCTTCTGTGGTATTTATCTGCCTAATCCTGGCAAGGATGCATTTTCTTTCATGAATTGCATTCAAATAATGTTTGTCTGAAACAGGGAGCAGCATGCACAATGATGGATAGGATTGGGGATGATGGTCTTGTTGTTGATGACAGAAAGCTTTTCTTTGAGTACAGGTATTTCTCTTTCATCATTGCCATGATTGTGGTATCATGAAAGTCAATTGTGATTATTTATTCCATGCTAGTATCTTGAAGTTGTACATTGTGCATCTTTGTTGGATCTCACGTACTGGTGAATTCCAGATACATTCTTACTTTAGCTGTTGGTGGCTTCCCTAGCACTATTCTCCTTCAATATCTGACTGATGGTGGCTTTTTTTGATGAAAACGCTACATTAATGTTGTTGTACATGCATATGGTGGCCCTAGGACACATTTTTTGGCTTCAAGCATAACCATTATCACTTTTATTTCTGTTGTCTTTCAGTAGTAAACCAACTGGGGGGGCAGGTGGGCCTTTTGGCCAAGAGAAATCTGGTCAACACAGAAACATCACAGTGCCATCTGATTGGATGTGCACTATCTGTGGTTGTGTCAATTTTGCAAGGCGTACATCCTGCTTTCAGGTTTTTTTTTCCATCTCATTTTCTCCTTATTTGATTTTTGATAAGTTGAACCATTATAATTTTTTATGAATACACAATCAGCCATTAGTTTCATTTGTTAGCACTAGCACTAGCACGGCAAGAACAATTCCCTGCTGGTGCTGAGCAAGCATGTCAAGTGTTGAAATGACAATCATTATTTTTTCTAGTGTTGTTTGGAGGTTAATGTGTGTTGGAAGTCACATTGACACCTTTAACATGCTGTCACTTCATGGTGATAAGAGCCTTTTCTTAACCTCTCATTGCCTTTTTTCTGATTTGATGAGTCTCTTTTTCCTCTCCCTTCTATTAAGTGAAGTGCCCAATGTTTCTTGTTCCCAAAGTCCCTAATAAGTTTCAGCTTCTTCAAGTGATCCTTTATTTCCCTTGTTTGTGTTAAGCACGTGCCCCTTTCACTTAAGCTGAAGACCCCTTAGCTCTAGTAGAGGGGTCTTGTACCAGGGATAGATTTCCACTTGGCGTTGTGACATGCTTTGGTTAAATAGTATGGACTTGTAGTTCTTTTGCGCAGAGCTCTTGCTTAGTGATTTTACAGCAAATGGAAAAGAAAAACTTTACCCAGGGATTCTGGTGGATTTTATAATGGTTTGAGAATTAAGATCCTTGAAAACAAATTGTTGAATGGCCTCTTTTATTATATGTTGCAGTGCAATGAGCCACGGACTGATGATGCACCACCAGCAGATATGGCTTTATCAAACCCACCATCCTCAGGAAAGAAAGGATTTGAGGCAGGTTGGTTTGAAATGTTTCTTTTTTCCTGACATGTTTTAATACATATGCCACAACTTGCTAAGCTGATTCCTAATCAGGCCCAACTCATGTTTTGGTTGTTCGTGGATTGGATGAAAATGCGGATGAGGAGATGCTTCGCTATGAATTTTCTAAGCATGCTCCAATTAAGGTACAAAATTCTGTAAAATTCATTTTTGTTTTATTAGAAAATCCCCCCCTTTTTTGGCATGTTCACACTTTTATCTTTCCTAATTTGCAGGATCTTCGACTGGTTAGAGACAAGTTTACTCATGTTTCAAGGGGATTTGCCTTTGTACATTTCCATTCGGTAAATTCATTTGTTATTGGTGATTGGATTTGTTGAATATTTTGTTCCTCTTATTTTTTGCTTTCCAGTTTTTCTTAGTCAAAATAATCTTTGATGGTTGTCATGCAATTCAAACAATTACGAGTCCAAATTTATTATAAACAATACACAACTGACAAATATAAGTTAGGAGCTAAGGTAAACTTAATAACAGTGATTCAGTGGTATTTTTATGATGAAATTATTTAGAAAGATTATACAACAAACTATGATTTGGTGGTATTGTTTTTCCTTTCACCTTCCATTCTAGGCTATAAAACTAATCAAACAGTGGTACCATGGTGGTTGTCGCATATTTTGAATGTTGCTGATATCTATAGCTTAGCTACCTAATGAAATCCCACTTCAGACTGATTTACTTTAGGTACTTTTTGCTACTTAAGATTTTCTTTTGAAATTTTAGTTGAATGGCCTCTGCATCCTGCAGGACCCCTGCCCCTCTGTATGGTGATTTTATTTGCTCTTTTCAGAATTAGACACACAACAAAAGAGAGTTACTAGCAGAAATAATAGATGCATTCTTTGCAATCATATGGTTCTTGTGTTGTAGGTTGAGGATGCTACTAAAGCCCTTGATGCGACCAATGGAACCACTCTTGAGAAGAATGGGCAGATCTTAAGAGTGGCATATGCAAAGAGCATTCTTGGCCCAGGGTCGTCAGGATCATCGCAGTCAAGCAGCTTAGCAGCTGCTGCGATTGAGGCAGCTGCATTTGCACAACAGGTATATGAATGAATCTTTTCTTCAACTATTGTAGTTTCTTTTTTATTGTACATTTTAAATCGAAGTACTAAATTTTACATGGTTTGTTCATACTTAGAATTTGAAAGTCTAGGGAAAAGCAACCTTTTTTGGATGAAGAAAATCAACATAGCCTAGAAACTACTTTAATTTTCTGTTATTTGAAGTCACTGAAAGCTTTTCATGAAGTGATTGTTGGTGGGGAAGTTGGAGAAAGTTGACATTGTACTTGTACTATGTACAATGTACAATGTACCATAGAAATGTAAAAGATACCTTCATATCAAAGGCCCCTTTTTCTGGAGAAATGGTTCTGTGAAGTGAAGGTTGATGAACAGATTAGAGAAAATTGATTTTCTGATATGATACATCTATTTCATACCTCAGAATAGCCACTTTAGGAAGTTTTTTATATTATTATCTGTGAGGCTGTAGGCATTTCTTTTGATCAAAGACTAAATTTCACTATCAACTTGTAATTTGTTAATGGCAATCAGTCTGGGTGTTTGTCAAGGTGCTACTTTCACGTTAATGGATTTGTGCTCGAACTTTTTGATGTTGATCTTTTTGTGATTTCATTGATGCATTAGACACAGGTTTTGTTATGGTTCATTGAATGGAGATGTAACTCCTAAGAATTCTCTTCTTGTCCCTATCACTTCTCTGCCTCTTGGAATATTAGTGAATATTATTGTTATATTATACTTATATTACTACCTGTACCCTTCATCTTAATTCTTTGTGCTTGCTTTCTGGTTTTTGATTATGCTGATTTTATATATGATATCTGAGTTCTTAAAATTTTATTTTTTCATCTTTTAGTATGATGCTGTTGGCTGGGCACCTAAGGAATATAACCCAGATGAAAAACAATCTGTCAGTGGGCAGGAGCAAGCTGGTGGGGAGATTACAGTCCAAAAGGATGGTTCTGCTGCACAATCTGCTTTTGTGTGGGATGAAGCATCTGGTTATTACTATGATGCTGCTTCTGGCTTCTACTTTGATGGAAATACAGGTTCCTTCTACATTTCTTGTTTGATTTGCACCAAGTGGAAGTGGAAGATAACATTTTGCGTGCATTGTGGATTTGAGCTATTGTTATAATGAATGTTGTAACTTGATCTGGGCATCTTTTACTAGATGGCAAGTTTCTGATTGTTGTCTTCACGTTAAAAAAATAATCCAGAAAGGGCATTGCTGTTTTCATTTTTGTGGTATAATTGGATAGATAACTGGTGTGTTTGGCTCTTTTCAAATGCTTTATCCATGGGTTTTCTCCCTGGTACAAGCTATAATAGATTTTTCCCTCCCTGAAGTAGTATAAAGATATATTTTCATTTTTATTCCTGTCAAGAAGTTTTATCTGATTATACTCTTGTGTAGAGAAAAAGGAGGGAATACTATTCCTATGTGGAACTTGGAAATCATGTTCATGTTTAACTGTCTTTCTAGGAACTCTAGCATTCTTGCTAGTACAAAATCATTAAGTTTCAAGGTAGTCACTGAGATTTTGAGAGCAAATGCTAAGATACTTCCTGTAGATCTTGCAAAATTGCTGATTAGGCAGAATATTTTGGGAACATATGACCTTTTTTTTTGGTAAGTTTGTGTGGGCATATACAGGCAGTGGAGATTTTTTGACTGTTATTTCTATTTTAACTTTGGAGCTTGAAATTCCCAGCTTCTAATAACTGGCTGGACAATGGTGATTTGTATGCAGTAGGAAAAATGTAGTGGGACAACTACATGAGTTTATAAAACGGGATAACGTCCATACAACTTTACATGTATGGTGCATTTGCTTGTGATTTACTTCATTGTCATCCATGAATTGACTGGAGCTACTTAACTGTATGCCTGCTTTACTTTTAGAGGCTTGCGATCCATAACTTAATCTCTTAAATTTCTTTTGAGGAATATTTTGACCTTCAATTCTAGTTTTCTGAAGATGCAATTTTGTGTCTAGTTTCCTTGGACAAGTTGTTTTCAATTTGGTTCCTTTTCGAGGAGAATTGTGATGAAAATTTAAAACTTGGTTATTGTTCCCTGGGAACCAGTGTTGTCGAAGGTGAAAGGTGCTAAAAAGCACCAAGCCTGGAAAATGCCCGAGGTGCTAGGCGCACACCTAGGTGCTCGCCCAAATGAACGAAGGCGCTCAACCTGTATGATATAAAAAATTAAATGTATAATATTATATTATGATATATAAATCTAAAATATATACCAATTAAGATTAGATCATTAGAAAATCAAAAGAAAATATAAAATACCATAATATATTCATATAAAGTTACATTTTTAACCTTTAAAACAAAACAAAACAAAACAAAACAATTTAAAGTAGTAAGTAGCCAAATAGATTAAAACGCAAACTTAAATATGATCATCATTATTCATTAATCTTCAAAAACTTCTTCATCCATGCTTTCCTCTCCTTCACTTGAGCTCTCCATATCATCCATTTCATGATTATAATCCAAATCTTCATCTCTTAAACCATACTGCACTTGTTTAAAACTAGAACATGATCCCTCTTCATGTTTAGTTCTAGCACTTGATGTTCATATACCTCTCAACTTTGTTTGTTGTCTATTATTGGTTCTAGGGATTGCAAATAAATAATCAGAGTACCACTACTGCTGGAATAATGAAAAGTTGAAAACATGTGAGGTGGCAAGCCCCCATGTACATAGTCAACATGATGCAAGTTTGTAACAATTAATTGAGAAAAAGTGGCCAAGTTCAGTAAGCACATTGACTACACACTCACACACGCACAAGCAAACTGCGCGTGTACTAGTCTAGTCATGTTCAAAATATATAAAAGTAATCTTTTGTATTGATAGAATATAATATATATATCATATACAAGCAAACTGCATGTGTCATGACTTGGTCAAATAATCTTTGTAATTTTCGACATACAAAGCTCCAGCTCCACAGAATTTTTATATGATATAACATAGTAGAGTTTTTATATGAGAAATTAAGAAAGAAAAAGATGAGATGACAGAAGAATATTTTTTGAAGGAACACCTCTGTTTTTTTTGTGTCTTCACTCGACTTCTTTCTCTTCTTCTTTGGTGGTGTTTCATGTTTGTTTCTGTTCTTGTTTCAATTTTGATATCTGGTTCTTTTCTTCTTTGACTTTGATGTCGGTTTCTTTTTTTCCTTAATCTATGTTTTTTACAAAACTACCCTTGAGTTTTTTTTCTTGTGTAAGACCAGAAAAGGAGACAAATAAGAAAAAATATAAGTCTTTTTTTTTTTTTAAGAAAGCAGAAATCAAAGAGACGTTTCTTCAAACTAATCATGAGTGTCAGTGTCTGTCATATAATTTTCATCAGTCGACGCCTTTATCGCCTGCCTCCCATGCACAGGCGCTCGCCTATTTGGCGCCACTTCAAACTCCATTGCCTCAGGCTAAGAAAGGCACCTCGGCCTCACCTCGCCTCGCCTCCGGTGCTTAAGCGAGCACATGGGCACCTTTTGACAACACTGTTGGGAACATCTTCAAAGATTCGGCAGGAAGAGATTATTTTGCTGTGGTGAAGTGGTTGTCTTCTAGGAAATTTTTTCATGTTTGTTGCTGTGAACTAAAAACGTGCTCTTCGAAAAGTGCACTGAGACCCAGGCATGGTGTGGAATTGCAATTGCATTGTATGAGATAATTTTTTTTGTATCCACGGGGATGTCTGTTAGAAGAATTTGGGTGGGGAATCATATACCCCTTCTGGTTGATATGGTGTTTGGTATGTTTTGGAGTGAAACTTTGTAAGGTTTAAACCCTAGTAGGTGCATTTGCCATTAAGGTGATCGTATTTCCTGCTAGCATTGGGAATGTTTTATGCTCTGTTTAGAATTATTTTCTAGGACCAAGAACTTTGGACACAGTTTGAATAGTTGTTACTAGCATTCTACATGGGTCATCTTCGGAGTTTAAGCTGAAATCGTAATTCCTTTGCAAGTCATCGGCTCTTTGATTGAGTATTATGCACTTGTAATATGCAGGTCTTTATTATGATGGTAACAGTGGGGTTTGGTACACATATGACCAGCAAACTCAGCAGTACATTCCTTACACGGAGAACAATGATAATAAAGCTTCTGGTAAACAGTCTGAGAATTCCAAGTCATCTGATGGCTCCAGTAACAGAAAAGTTGTAATTTCTGCACCGGCTGCTACTATTACATCATCTGTGGAGAAGGCTGCCTCATTACATGATGCAGTCCAGGCTGCTGCTACAGCAGCATTAGCTGCTGAGAAGAAGGAGAAGGAGAAGGCAAAAGAGATAAAACTTGCTTCAAAGAGCAGTATTTTGGCTAACAAGAAGAAAATGAACAACGTATTAACAATGTGGAAGCAAAGGAGTCATGAAGGACAAGCTACCCGTGTGGCTCTTGATGATAGTCACCCATCTGTTCCAGCTGATGATAGGCTCTTTTCAGCTGGGCAATCCACAAAGAGCAAGTTTAAATCTGATTCAACAACCACCAAGGAGAACAATATGTCCAGTTCAGGAGTTGCCGCAACCCCATCTGCCCAAACTACTGGTTTGGAGTCTCCAGTGAAGCCAAGACCTGCGAGCAACAGTTCAGGAGGGACTTTGATGGGGGTTATAAGGGGCTCTGGACGAGGTGTTGTGAAGTCTGATACTTCATATTCTATACCATCTGCTGGTGTTTCTACATCCAATGCTGTCATGCCACTAACTATGGCAGGTTCATCAACAAATTCTGATACATTTCCAGCCGCAACTCCTTTTAGGACAGATGCATCTGCGTTGGGCTCTTACACACCACCTGTTGCTGCTGTGAGTGGCAAGAGGAGATTTTCTGAAATGCCACTGCCTTCTGCTTCTACTCACAAGGAGCAACCACAGACTTCCTACAGGGATCGAGCAGCTGAAAGGAGGAGTTTGTATGGTTCATCTTCTGTGGGAGATGATTTGCCTGACATGGATTCACGTAAGCTTTAGCGATATGGTTTTTACTATACCTTTATTTTTACAAGGTCATATGATATTAGGAACATTGTACTTGGTACCTTTTACTTCTGCCTGCTTAGTTACCCTGGATATCTATCAGATCTTGGTTTTCTCAAACTTCTCAGTCTGAGTGAATGGGTCCCAACACTTTATGTCTTGATAGAAATATTAACTTGCGAGGAATCCTTTGTGTTTTCTATTTGTGATCACTTAAAGATCGGGAGTCTGCATTCAAAAGGAGTGCTTTGGATTCAATGCCATTCCCCCCTGGTGTTGGAGGAGGACGTGGGATTGGAGATGCGCAGAGCTATGAGGTGATTACAGCAGACAAGGCACTTGGCGAGAGCAATGTAGGCAATCGAATGCTTCGCAATATGGGCTGGCAAGAGGGCTCGGTATCATTCCTTTCTCTTGATCCTGACAATTTTAACTGCTAATTTATTGACCACTGTTCGCAACTATGCTGGTTATTCTTTTGAAATGGGTTGTAGGTTGTAAATCATTGGTTACTGCTGATAATGATGCCGGTCATCCTTGTGAAATATGGGTTTTAGTTAGTACAGCCTTTTCTTCCTTTTCTATAATCATATTCTAAGTCTTTTGAAAGCAAATTTGTGCTCTTACAAAATCTTCCATTTCTGTATGGTTTTGCCAATATTCGAAATGACTTCTATCATATGATGTTCCTCTCATCTCTTAATGGCCACTATGTTCTGTTACTTGCCTGCTGCCCCACACCGTTAAAGTTGAATCATATATGCTGGTTGTCCATGCTTTTGCATCAATCATGCAACTAGTTTCATTACAGTTCTGCCAATATTCGAAATTACTTCTATCACATGATGTTCCTCATCTTTTTATGGCTACAATGTTCTGTTATTTGTTTGCTGCCCTACACTGTTAAAGTTGAATCAAATATACTGGTGGTCAATGCTTATGCAGCATTCATGTAACTGGATTCTAATTCTTATTCACCGTGGGGATTGTCTTCTCTGGTTTTTGGTGATCGATGTGATTTGCAGGGACTGGGGAAGGATGGAAGTGGAATGATTGAACCAGTCCAAGCTCAAGCCATAGATAGGAGAGCAGGACTTGGGAGCCAGCAGAAGAAGTTGGATCCTAGCCTTGAGGTACAAGCTGGGGATAGTTACAAAACGCTGATTCAAAAGAAGGCCCTTGCCAGGTTCAGGGAGATGTCGTAGATTAAAGGCTTAAGCTATGAAGCAGGGGTTGTAGATGTGCCGCGTAAGCTCTGACGCTGAGGACATCGTGGTATTTTGTGGGGCAATGCATTTAGGTGATTTACTGTAGATCAAATTTCTTCTGTAGACTTGTGAAAATTAATCTATAGAAATTCCAGAATCTTGTCTCAACTGTTTCGATTCCTTTTCTTTTCCGATGACGAGAGTTGCAGTCCTGCCTGCAGCAAAAGATGCACCAATATCAAATACCAGCATGCCATTGTAATGACCAAAAGAAAAGGGAAAATCGAAAGGGATGAATAAGTTAATAGTACAAGGTAAAAACCTAAGAAAGGGATGAATAAATTCCATGTTCAGTTAAAGAACTTGGTTGCGCTAAGTATTATTCATCTTTAACTGAGCTTGCATTCGACAACAGGCAGCTACAAACAATATTGGCAAAGTCCACTGCCAAACGACTCAATCTGAATAATCACTGATGGTTTGATCAAATACATAGGAGGCTGTTTGGTTGTGATCAACTTTGATGGAGGACTAGAGATGTGACCATTTTACAGTATTTTTGGGCCCGACTTTCTTCCCTTCCATGTTTTGCTGTTCTGCGTATTGATAGGTTTCATGGAATATAAGTCTAAAAAAAAGTTATAAATTATATATTTTCTTTAAATTAAGATTTCAAGAAAGATTTCGGAGTACAATTATGGTTATGATGTATGCTAATTAATTATATACTTTTAATAGGCAAAACATGTATCTAATTATTTTATATTTTCTTGGATTATGTTTAATTAGTGTTTCTTTATATATATATATAAAGATTGTAAAGACATAAATAAACAACCTTGGATTGAATTTTTATATTTTTGAAATAAAAGGATATATTTTTATTTTTATTATCTCAACTTTTTCATATCTCAAGAAAATAACTAAGCTCCATATTTAACTCTCCCTATGGGGTTTTGTATACTTCAACTCTTGCTTAAGGAATGGTTTATAACTTCTGACAACCACTTGTTTTGCTTCCCACATTAACCTAAAAAGACAAGTACAAAGTTAACCTCTACAAGACAACAACCTGGCTGTTTCCGCAAGGAATAGGATTTTATGAAAAGTCTACTGAAAGTCTTCATCAAAGGTAGTGAAATTCTGTGGAAATTGCTACCACAGGAATACAGAGGCATTTTTCTCAGGTGCTTAGTCCAGTCTTTGTTGAAAGAAGTGACAGGAAAAGGCTTGGGTTTGATCTCTAAAATCTTCCTTGACTACTTCCTTAGCAAGAGAGAGAGAGAGAGAGAGAGAGATTGGAAAATTGGCAGTGTTGGTAAATAATATTTATTCTCCTTTCTTGTTGGTATTAGTTTTTTAGGCTATTTTTCAAATTGCTTTTGAAAAATAATATATATTTTTTAAAATTTAAAACACACAAACATGAATGAATAACATTTCAAAATAAATAATGCTAATTTCTCTGATCCAATTTTAATAGTTCCTGTTGACTTGTCACAAAGCTTAAAACATATAATGAATATAATGGCATTAGAATGTTTTCAAGATCCCTAGTTTTATCTGGTTTGAGCTAGAAAAATCTATGAAGAACATCAGCAATTTGACTAAAAGGTCGATGGATTCTGATGTGGCCAAATCCAAAGAATGGGAGAACAGTAAAAGATTGGGGAATCATATTGCTCCATGACTAATCCTTCTTTTTTTCAAACGATGAGCCCACCATGATGCCAACAATCCAGATTTCTAGCCTTTTATCTGTCTGAGTACTTTCTTATGGTCTTTTGATATCAAAATATCTGAAAACATTAAAAGATTTAATTTAAAAAAAAATTCAAAATTCTCAAAATATCTTTTCAAAACACAAGAACAAACTATTCAAGATTTAAAAAGATTCGTCTCCTTTCTTGTTCGGCTTTTCTAAGACAATGGGATCTGACATTGAAAGTATGGCGACCCAGAAGTAATGCCCATCTCGTGGGGTTGGAACAGAAACAATTCATATATATATATATATATATATATGATGTCTTCTTCAATTTGTCCAAAACTCAAAGAATTACAAGTGAATTATCTAGCCTCAACTACCTTAATATTGTTTCGTTGTAAGAAAAAGGGCCCTCAAGGCTCAAACAACTTGATTGATCCCACACATGCCGAACTAAGATCACATCTGTGTCATCACAGATTTGCCTTTGTCTATTTGATGGCATTACACCTCCGAGACATATTCCAAGCAATCAAATTATATGAGAAGCATGTGCTTTGGTTATATATGGTAACCCTTTTTTTTTATTGCAAGATATGGGTTGTAATTAAGAACTAGTGACGAGATTGTTGAGATTAAGTTAAAATAGGTTTAATGATAATTGGATCCTTGTTCTACACTAATGGGTTTGGGTTTGATCCTTCTATTTAATTTTTGTTGATGATTAGATTGGTTACTAAACATACCATAATGTTTAATTATATAAGTCTAACATAATAAACTTGAAAGAAGTGGCCTCATACTTGACTAGAAATGGATGTTTCATGCATGAAGCTTTAAGGTTGCTTTTGGTTAAATATTTTGAAATAAAAAAGTTAAACATAAAAATGATGAAAACAAGTTTGCTTTTAGCAATAATGTTTCAAAATTATTTTTAATTTTTTTTTTAATTTAATATTTTTTTATTTTTTAGAATATCATTTTGATGCACTAATATTAAAAATAATTTTTTAAAAATAATAATAAAATATTAATTTGATATATTTTTAATAAAAATATTTTAAAAAATAATTATAATTTATTAATTTATGTGTTTTCAGGATATAAGGTATATATCTTATTTGTTTTTATCTTTTTTGTGTCGCGAGAAAAAGTAATCAAACATTAGCGAAACTCATAAAAAAAAAAAAAGAATTTAGCTTTAATTAATATCCACAAATTAACTAAAGAACACCACATGATAAGTGTAAAAAACAGCAAAAGGAAATGGACACATATGAACAAGTGCGGTCCCTGTGCTCATGTGTTGCGAGCTAGTACATGTCAGCTGAGAGGTTAAAGTGTCTATGGTCCTCCATGAGGCTAATAATTCTGATCTTCTTGTATCCTTGGCTTTGAAAGAATGTATTTTAAAGTATTTTTTATTTAAAAACATTATTTTTAATATTAGTATATCAAAATAATTTAAAAACATAAAAAAATTTAAATTTAAATTTAAATTTTAAAATTGTTTTTAAAATACTAAAACAAACTATCTCCCATTTATATAGTAAAAACAAACCAAGAACGCTTCAGGAAACCTTCAAAATACATAGCCCAACACAAATATCTGTGTTTTTTCTAAAGGCATGGTAGCAGTCAAATAATGCAAATGCCTATACACTACACTACACTCCAAATAAAGGATAGTTATAACAACCATTTTCTTGGTCCCTTCCGAGGTTTTGACCCTTCCAAGTTTTCTGGTTTCTTGTTTTTATTATTATTATTATTATTACCGAAGTGAGATTATTGCAAGAGAACAGGTGTCAGTTGATCTACATGCAGGCAGGCAGGCATAGGCTCCATTTCAATTTGTTCTTGGGATTTCTCTAAGAAGTTATTGAAAGAGTGGAAAGGAGAGAAGTATTAATTAAAGAGATTCTTGAAACTTGTATTAACATTACATGAATTTGGAAGAAGATCGTGGATGAGCTTTGAAGGGTGTTATTAGAAAAAAATAATGTTTGAGGACCCAAATAAAAACTATTATATAGTTAGGAGTCTCCTTTTGATCCAAGAACTTGCTATTTGCATTATACTTGTATATTTTGTAGCATAAATCCCAATTATTAATTACAAGAAGAAACCAATTAACCTTCATACATTAAGAGAAACATGAAGGAAAATTATTCATATTCAAGGGGAGATTAATTAAGAGAATATTTGGCAAATTAATTCATGTATAATCTTGCCCTTCCTCGAAAAGGGATGTAGGTTTTATTTTTATTTTTATGAGAGAAAGGAAGAAAGAAGTATGATATGTCCCTATCGATTGATTGACGGCATCAAGACAAAGCCAAAACAAGGGTTGTTGAGAACATTAATTGATATTCCTATACGATACAACCATGGATGTTCGGTGTCGGCTTCAGTTTATTTATTTATTTAAAAAAGAATTTTTTATTCATTTTCGAACCTCTAAATTCGTTGTTTTCATTCGATTGTAAAATAATTTTTTCATCAGTATTCATCAAGATTATTAAAATGATCTCAAAATATAAAATAATATAGTTTTTTTATTTTTTTTTAAATTATTTTTAATTTTAGCACATTAAAATGATGTAAAAAAATAAAAGAATAATTTAAAATTACAAAATAAAAAAAATGAAATATATTTTTAAATATTTTTAAAACACACAACAAATATAATATATTAAGCTCAGAAATGCTATGCTGTTGAGGTTAGATTTTCTAGTTTGGATCTAATAAATAAATATATGCATGCTGCAGCACAACGTAGTATTTTTACTCGAGACAGCACTGCCAGGGGCGGAGGCAGGGGTGTGGCTGTCAGGCCCCGCCCTCTGTTTTTTTCCCCGTCCATCGCCTTGAATAGCTGTAAATTTTACCTTCTGCTTTCTTTTTGGCTCAAAGCCAAGTGCGGTGGCTCCGCCCTGAACACAGCAGAGTGGGATGTTCATTTTTTCGTTATTTGTGTTTCTTGTTTTGAATTATTTTCATGAGAATATGTAATGTATCTTGCTACATAATTTGTGGGGGAATTCTTCTCTTCTCCAATGGACGCTACTTTTTGAATGTCTAATGTTGTAGCTTTGAAATCACTCGTCAATGACCATTTATTTAGTAGCCAGGTGAGGGAGCATATTTTCCAAGCCGGTCGGCCATGCTATAGTTTCAAGAATAGATAATGAGAAATGATGTTTGAATTGGTATTTTTATGCTTTGTTAAGAAGCTTTAAACTCATAAGAAGGTATGATATAAGTGAATGTGGGTCTGGAAAACTTTTAAACTTGATATATTTGGTTTGGTCATGTGTGGATTTAAATTGGTGTAGATTTGATAAATTATTATATCTGATATGTTTGAGTTCAGTCACGTGTTAAGTCTAATACAACATAAATATAACACATTGTAATATTTAATATATTTGAATTCAATCATGTATTAAATCTAAGT